GGCCAGGGGGGAGCCCATGCCCAGGCCGGCCAAACCAGGGCCGTGTCACCCCAAAAACCACCCCTGAGACACCCCAAACCCCCCCCGGACACCCCAAAAACCCCCCCAGGACACCCCAATCCCCCCCAGAGTGGGTGGGATCATCAAGACTCCCCCAGGACACCCCAAAACTCCCCCCTGAGTCCCTGTAATGGTCGCACCCATGGCCTGGGGACCCCATCCCGAGGCCTCCACCCAAGTCGGGGTCACAGGAGCCCCAAAATCCCTCTGAGACCCTCCAAAGCCGCATCTGTGGGGTCTTTAGGGGGTCTGTAAGAGATCTGTGGGGTCCGGGGGGTCCATAGGGGATCTGTGGGGTCTGTGGGGCCTGTAGGAGTTGTGTGGGGGCACCAGGGGATCTGTGGGGTCTGTAAGAGATCTGTGGGGTCTGTGGGATCTGTAGGAGTTGTGTGGGGGCACCAGGGGTTCTGTGGGGTCTGTAAGAGATCTGTGGGGTCTGTGGGGGCTGTAGGAGTTGTGTGGGGGCACCAGGGGTTCTATGCAGTCTGTAAAAGATCTGTGGGCTCTTTAGGGAATCTGCGGGGCCTGTAAGATATTTATGAGGTCTGTGGGGGCTGCAGTAGATCTGTGGGGTCTGTGTAAGATCTGTGGGGCCTACAGGGGATCTGTAGGGTCTGTAAGAGAACTGTGAGTTCTGTGGGGTCTGTGGGGACTGTAGGGGATCTGTGGGGTCTGTGGGGGCTGCAGGAGATCTGTGGGGTCTGTGTAAGATCTGTGGGGCCTACAGGGGATCTGTAGGGTCTGTAAGAGAACTGTGAGTTCTGTGGGGTCTGTGGGGACTGTAGGGGATCTGTGGGGTCTCTGGGGGCTGCAGGAGATCTCTGGAGTCTGTGGGGACTGTAGCAGATCTGGGGGATGCAGGAGGTCTCTGGGTTCTGTATAAGATCTGTGGGGCCTACAGGGGATTTGTGGAGTCTGTAGCAGATCTGTTGGGTCTCTGGGATCTGTGGGGTCTGTGGGGGCTGCAGGAGATCTGTGAGGTCTGTAGGGGATCTGTGGGGTCTGTGGGGGCTGCAGGAGGTCTGTGGGGTCTGTAGGGGATCTGTGGGGTCTCTGGGGGCTGCAGGAGGTCTCTGGGGTCTGTAGGGGATCTGTGGGGCCCAAGGAGGGTTCAGGGCTCCCGGGCTGGTTTCTGGGGGCGGTTCTCGTCCTTACCCTTGGTGAAGGCGACCCCGTCGAGGTCGCGGGGCCCGACGCCCGCCTCGCGCAGCGCGGCCTGGACCAGGCCCAGCAGCACGGCCCGGTGGTGCCGCCCGGTGGGGCCGGGGGCGAAGCCTGAGGGGGAAAAGGAGCGGGGAGGGGTCAGTGGGGGGGGGGCAGCGCGGGGGGACACCGGGGGAGGGGGGGGGCGAGGGGGGAAATGACGTCACCCTGTCCCGGCGGCGTGACGTAGGTGGCGCGGC